CTGTGCCAAATGTGGAGTCTCATTCCAGTCACTAACAAAAAGGTAAAACAGAAGTTTAGTTTGTTTTTCTTTTACAAGTATATCTCAGCATAATCTTAATAATGGAGCCTTGACATATTTGGAATGGTAACATTTTGTTTTCAGAAGCATTCAGTATATTTAAAAGAGATATTCTTAACTGTCAGCTTATTTCTGAGAAGGCAACTGTGAAGATAAGACACAATTCATCTTGATTCCAGATATGTCTGTAAATTCACCTGGCATTGCCTGCAGATGTGTTCGATTTCTAGGACAAACCATCAGAATAAAAATCTTCTTTTCTAATTGTCAAGAGGTAATTCAGCACTTCATAGAGCACCCAGGAAGAGAAAGGCATTTCGAACACTTCCTTTTTAATAATAGCAATTTTCTAACCCCCTGCTTTAGCTTTACCTCAAGATAATGAAGACATCACAAACTAAACATGTCAAAGCCACCCAAAAGTTTACATTATATCTTACTACTCCTTTAAAGTACATACCACTAGAGCTACCATGAATAAAATATTGTGAAATCATAGATTCAAAAATACTGAAGAATCTACTGAACGTATTATTCATCTAACCATTGGTAATAGTTAACATTATTGATCAAAAGCCACAGGCTAAGGGATTTGGTTCTTATATACACTGCTGAATATGACCAAGCAGGAAATTATTTGCTAAACAGTGTCACAGGAAACTGTAACACTGAAAATGTGACATATGAAACTGAAAAGCATGCTTATTTCCAAAACCACTACTAAAAGTGTGGTGTAAACAGCCAATTCTGCCAAATTTGTGTCAAGTCTTTTATATTATAAATGATAAAAAAGCCAAGGTCCAGATGCCACTCCATGTCACCTTTACTGAACCCCACATGATTACTGTGCTAAAAACCAGGAGTACAGCTATCATGTTGAGGTGCGGCAGATAAGATGCACTTCTATGAACTGCATTTCTCAGTTTGTTTTGTGTACAGCATGAACAGGTAAGAACACCAGTACTGTACCATCAGTCCATCTTCCGGACCCAGAAGTCTTCGTCCCTGCAGGTTCCCTGGGTCTCTGGTGCACAGGTTAAGCTGGTCCTTGCAGTAAACCACCTTTCAGGACTACAGTTCAGTATGTGGCTTGAACAGTGCTAGTTCACCTGTCCACCATATGATCCTAATTCAGAAGGCATTTAGGGGACCATGGAAAAACACATGGCAGCATACCTCTGGTGTCCTTTATATCTACTCTTGCTCCAAGTATTATTCCCTATCAGCTATGGTCAATGAATGACTCCACTTTCTTCTTGTGGCTGAACACCAAAATTTCTTGTTCTGCCTTGTTTTAATGGTAAATCTTTGCATATATCCACACAAAGCAGCACAATCAGTAAAATGGGGCTCACTACTAGAGGTAACTACCACCTCCAGGTCCTTCCCACTCTGAGGATTCATATCCTTAAATGAGGGTCACCTCAAAAGCATGGAGCCAACTGAACAGCTCATAGGCTCACTGGTAAGGCAAGACCATATTTTTGGTTTCTTCAGCAGATGCCCTGAAGAAAGACTCTTGCAGTATCTGGATGCCATCTTGATTAAAAAGGTGTCCAGCTGAAACCTGCCCATAACTTCAACACTTAACACAAGGCATGGATTTTCCAGTTGTAATTTCCAGGTGACTACCAAGACCAGTGTTGTTGGCAGTGCTCCTTATTGACTGAGATGTGGCCAATTATCTCTTCCATTGTTATCTTGTATTAGGTAGTTCTTCATGTGAGCAATTCAGTGTGTCTCTCCACTTAAGTTACTAGTAATTCACTCCATTGAAGTGACTGAAAGCAATGTCAAATGGAAAGTGGGTATAAGACCAAAAACCAGTCCAAACCAATATGTAATTAAGTGCTGTTCTTTCGTAGGCTAATGCTAGTAAAAATTAAGGTTAATACTGAAGAAAATAAGATCAGAGGAAAATAATATACAACCTTAAGGTACTGGTCATTCATTTCTGGGTACTTTTATCAAAGAATCAATTAACATTTAATCCTGTTAAAAGGTGCGCAGTGTACCCTTGTTAAGTAAAGAGTATTCATATTTCAGACCAAGATTACCTGCTGGCCTACTGCATGGCCTTTGGCAAGATGTCTTAGACTTTCCTGACTACCTACACTGCAAATTTTTCAAGGGAGTGAATTTTACTCTGTACATGTAGTTGTAGGTAGGGACCTGACTGGATACCACTCTAACACAAACAATGGTAGAGAGGGCTCAGCACATAATAAGATCACTCGTGAAAGGCCTACGATCTGTGTTAGCATTAATGAGACTTTCAATATTGACTTCAATGGCAATAGTTGGGACCCAAACATCAATTACCAGAAATAAAACAAAACTGAGTTTACCAGCTTATTAATATGTAGTCACTTTCAAAACCAAATTTCATGGTACTTGCCAGCATAACTTTGTCAAGTGTAGTTCAATTATTTAGTTGCTTATTTTCCCAAAACCTCTATTTGCATGCATGATTTTTAAAACAAATATAGAAAGAGTTCCTGAAAAATCATTAGATAGAAGAACTCAAGTCATGATATGCTCTTTCTTCTTCCACTTTCACTTACCCAAAACTAGTAGAAATTATTTGCAGCTATGTTGGTCATGCCAACATTATTATATAACAGGACTTGCACGTAGCTTCTTACAGGTCTACAGATACAGATTTAAAATTAACTGGCTAGGTTTTAAGCATTGTTCCGCTTTACTTCGATCTGGAAGAGAGCTAGAATAAAAACAATTCAGCAAATATTCTGTAGAAAATTGTTTTCATTTTTAATGAAAATTCTCAACTTCTTCAGATGCTTTTCAAAACCATTCAGCTGTAGACATGGAAAAAAAAAAGTTTGCTAAATTCGACTCAGTTCAGTTTATTAAGCAAAACCTTGTGAATATATTATTCAGTAATATTTCAACAAGGTTTTTAGAAAAGATGCTTCTTTTCTTTCATCTGCCAATAAAGCTTACAACCTGCAGAGAACTAAATTGTAACATGATTTAATTGTTTGCTGACATTTTTATAGTACGTCAAATATTTAGCAGTTTACTTGTAAACTTCTTTGACACGAGCTAGGTAATCGATAACATTCCCTCATACTTTCTGAATACCTTTGTTAAAATACAGTACATATTCAAACTTCAATCCAACTTATGATCCATTCTCATGAAACAAAAATCAGAGTATAAGACAAATCTGGACTGTCTACTCCCTTGAAAGCACAATACAGTTTATTCTATATAGTTTTTTAACAAGTATTAAAACCTGTGTGGCTCTTATCCACGATTCTAAAGCAGTACTGTATAGAGTTGCTAGAAGTGCCATTACCAGTCAAATTGAAACATTGCCACTTGAATTTCTAACTAAAGTTGGCTGTCACTCACAATAAATGACAATGAAGACCTACAGCGAAGCCCACTCTTTGGAGAGGTTAATTGGGATTTTGCCATTGATCTTAACAGGACCAACATCTACTCAAGATTTATAAAGTTAGAATACTTCACTACATGCCAGTAGGTAGAGAAACACAGAATTTCAGTTAATTTAGAATTATTTCATGTCAACTAGCATAAGACAGCTATAGCAAGCATCGGAGCAGCAGCTTAGCAGAAGTTGCCTACTGGTAAAGGTTTTCGTATGTCTGAAGAAATTAAAGGAAGTATTATCTCTCCTGAATTTAATTTACCTGCTTGACAATTATACCTAGGATTTTGAGTGGTGAATTAAATTCCCTCTTCAGCTCAAAATCACCTACAGTTTGAGCTGCTGGTAGCAAAGAAATGTTATCCTTGTCAGCCTTGATGCACTCAGCCCTAGAGCAGCATAGGGACCCTTCCACTGACCAAACACAAAGGTTCTCCCCCAAATATCATCCTTTAATAACTGAAGGGGAAAAGGAGTAGAAGCAAGACCTTGATTTCATTCAGTGCCTATAAAAAAGCAAAGGCATTTTAATGTGATGTCTTGATTAATTCATTCTAAGCTCCCTTTATCCAGACTACTTAACTCTAAAGTGCACAGTCCTGGAAAGAATATCACACGCTGTATTATCCTTAAGAAGTTCAAGTGTATGTAAAAGTCAGTGTATGTAAAAAGCTGGCAGGAAGGCAACTGTTAGATATTGACAATATTGACTTCAAGAGATCTTGGGATACACAACTTTCTATTTACTCTTTTTATGAATGATTTTTTCATTCATCATTTTGGTCACAATTGACATTCTGTAACTAAAATAAACCAGAAGTTTTTCTCTTTTCTTTCAAATTGTCAACTACATTAACCTTGTCAAGAAACCCACAAGAACAAAATCAATATAGCAATTTAAAGACAAAATTGGCAGGCATTATATTGTACTTGGACACATCCAGTAAATAGCCTCATACATCAAACCACTGTCATCAATGGCAATATTCTGAAACCTACTAATGTTGTTTATTACATTTGCGGTGTGAAATGCCAAAGTAAGTACAAATATCGGTCCAGTAGATGAAAAATAACACGGAAATAATATCTCACATGCTTGAGAAGCACGGACTAGTGACTCAGGTGTCATTTAAACGCCCTGTACTTCCAGCACGGAGAGTGGCTGCTCTCTATAAGCGATACGGTACCAGCAGCGACCTGCTCGCCCATGCAGAAGCCGCAGTGGGAACTCCGGGACCCACCGCGCCCCATCCCCGCGCCCCGACGGCGAGCTCCGGGCAGCGCCGTCCGTCCTGTGCCCCTTCCCCGGGGTGGCACCGCACACGCCGACGCTGCAGGTCGGAGCTCCTACAACCCGCTCCCTCTTTCCCCCCTATTTCTGGCTGCCCTACCAGCCGGGGTGTGACTCCTCCGGCATCCCCCTCTCCGCCGCTCGCTGGACCCTCGCGGCTCTCCCGCTCCGCGGCCGCTCTCCCGAGGTGGCGGGTGGGGAAGGGCAGGCAGCGAAGTTCGCGGGACTTACGGTGGCAGCTCTCCCACCGCTGGCGCGGCACCTCTCCCGGCCTCCCGTCACCTCGGGCCACCTCCGCGGCGGCTCAGCGCCCGCTCCGGCGCAGCCCGGACGCCCCTTCACTCCTCGGAGGAGCTCATGGGGCCGCCCGCTCCCCGACACCCGCCCGGTGGGTCCCCGCGTCCCGGAGGCGGCGGACAGACACCAGCCAGGGTCGAGCGCTTCTGGCTGCTGCCTTGGGCAGCATCTGCCTCCTCTCGCCCGCGCCGCGCCCACCCCCCGCTCCACCCCGGGCGCCGGCGAGGCTTCGCGCAGACGTCGGTGCGGGGCGGCCGGAGCCCGCCCGGCGGCGGCGGCAGCACCTCCTACCCCCCCGCCTCCCCGCGGCTCCCGGCCGCTCCTGCCGCCGGGGCAGCCGTGCCGGAGCCGCCGCTACGGGGGCGGGAGGAGCGAGAGCCGCCGGGGCAGCCGTGCCGGAGCCGCCGCTACGGGGGCGGGAGGAGCGAGAGCCGCCGGCGCTCCCGACACACCGCCTGAGGAAGGAGGGGTCCCGCGGCGCGGGGGCGAGGCACGCCCGACCCGGGGGCCTGGGGCGCGCCCCCCTCGTCCCCGCGGAGAAGGCGGAGGCGGCAGCGCGGCGGCTGCCCTTTGTCAAGGCGGTGCCTTCCGAGCGGGGCCAGTGGTCCCTGCACCGCCGCCGGCTGGGCTGTGTCCGCAGCGAGGGTGTCAGGGGCCTGGCCGGACACCTCACCTCCTCCTCCTCTCGAAGAAGGTCCTCAGACCCGAGCCAGCGTTCTGGTCCCATCGCGGGCACCTTTCCGAAGAGGAAAGCCGGGAGAATGCAGGGTTTGGAGCGTGGGACCCTGCGCTCCTGCACCTGGGCGAGAGGGGCGCTACGCCGGCAGCGGATCGCGGGCTGCCGGCGCCCCTGCCCACCCCGGGGAAGCTACCCCGCGTCCTCCCATCTGCCCCGTCTCCTCTGATGCTTCTCCAGCTTGCGTGAACCATCTACCTACCGACCACCGAGCTGAGGAGGATGAACAAGGGGCGGCCGCAGCATTCACCGGACAGCAGAGTCATCTAAATTCCCACTTCTGCTCCAGAAGGTGTGTCAGCGTTTTAAACCAAATGAGAGGACGAGGAAGACCTGGTTCCGTCCACCTCTGCTCTCCTCAGAAGGGCAGACCCCAATAACATGGGCATCCAGAGGCAGCTGAGCCAACAGCCCCCACCGCGCGGAAGAGCGTCGAGTGGTTGTGCGTGAAGTAGCGCAGGGAAGGACTTCTCTACTGTGACTGCACCAAGTTGCCCAATGTTTAAATATCCAGAGAGCCACACTGAGGCTGAGATGGAGCGAATGCACAGTGATTCACCTCAGCACTCCTAACAGACGTATCAGTGTGTACAGCAGATACTGGGGTGTCTTCCCAGCAGATGGAGTCAGGAGGCAAACAAACTTGCTGAAAAGGTACCACCAGCCGGCTGAGAACAGCTTTATTCTTTAGTCTTTCTGTGCGAAGGGTGTTACTGCCATTAAATAAAAGGAACTTTGACACTGGCTTTGAAGTCACCTGGCTTACTTCTGAATGGAAAGTTAGCTCCTACCGAAGCAGTTCTCAAGTGTTTTTCTTCCACCTACTGCTTTCTCTTACAGATTACAGTCAAATTTTGCAGCTTGCCTTTCTCCCAGAAACCTGCATGCAAGCTGGCTGCCTTTCTCCAGCACAGGCCATGCTGAGGAGGGCAGGAGGGAAAGGAGCAAGGGAAATTAGTGCTCAGAAGGAGGTGCTGGGCTTGGCATGCACCAAGTTCTAAGAAAAAGAAACTCCTTGCCACTTTTTCCAGCACTTGTTAAAAGAGTGCCACTAGATAATACTGTCAAAGAAACTTGTCCTCCTTGATACAAGAGGGAATAGGAAACCATAATAAAAGTTGAGACACTTAAAGAATACTGATGTAAGTCATCATCCCTTTAGGATTTAAACTTTCACTGTAGGTTTCATCCTTTATCCTTGTAGATACAGAAGGAGAAACAGTGGAAGCTGATTTTATGAGCTTTCATAAAGCCACAACTTTTTCACTGTTCACAGCATTCTCTGGCAGGAACAGTGAAGTTAAGGGAGGTTCTCATTAGCTGTGCTAGGTCTGGAACCACAGAGCAGCACCCCTATCGACTCAATGCAGTCCTGTCTCTCTCGTGCTACAGCTGTCCCTAGGTGGGCTTGGATGAGTCATGGTTCTAAGTGCTTGAGATGTTTGTGGAAGAGGAACTGCTGAGAAGCAAAACCTTAAGCTGAAGCCTAGGGAAAGCAGGAGAATACCCCTTCCTCTCATTGCAGCAGTAAGTTGAAAGAGGTAAAATAGAGAGCTTTTTCATGCCTGATAGCCTGGAATATTTTCTTTTCCAGAGGTTTGAGAGGGTGTGAATGAGCGGGTCACCAAATAGGTACAGATTGCTTTAAAAGATAGAAAAAGCAACTGAATTAGGTGCATGCAGGTGATGGACTATTTACCAGTAGCTTCTTCCATAGTCCACCCATTTAGGTTTTATTTTCTTTGTGTGTGTGTTGTCTGGCTAGTACTGTTCATTCTATGATTGGAAAGCATCACAGTTTCAATGGTTTTATACTTATTTCAAAACAGGCTGTATGTTGCTCTGTTTTCTTAGTGAGTAGCATTCATTTGCTGAAGTATAAATCTGTCATCCCATAATCTGGAAATAGGTTTCTTAAGGTTTGGGTGGTTTTTTAATAAACTTCCATTTTGTTAACCATTACCTTGCACACACAAGCAGCACTTTCCCATTTGTTCTGCTATAAGCAATTCTCTTGTGCCCCATGGGACTGCAAGCATGAGTAGTTACTATTTAGCATGTGTGTGAAATACTGATCAGGCCCATAAATAACCATTGGAAAATTATTATTAACTGTACCTTGGTGGTTTTATTTCTGCTTGTGCTCAGGAGTCATTACAACACTGGCTTCTGCACAAAAGAGGTGGCTGAGCCAATGTTTTATGTTGTGATATTATAGTGTTGCTTTGTACATGAAAAGTGAAGTAAGACCAAGCCTGGTTCCAAGATTTCAGTGATTTCGTTCTGTTATGAGGGAAAACATTTTTCCATATAGTATGGAAAGATGTGTATTTCTGTAGTTTATCTTGTTTGCACCATCTTTTTTTTTTCTTGTAAATATAGTTTCTCGACCTTTAACAGTACTGCAAGTAAGGATGTCACTTGTGAAAAAGGCAGTCTTAATTTTCTTGGTCAGGTGCAGAATTTGAAAGAAAAATCCAAGTTCCCAGCTGGACCTATAAGCTTTCCATTAATTGGGTAGAGATATTTTCTTTTGCAGATGCCTGCATTGCAAGCTGTTTGGAGGTGAACTATTTCCTATGATGATTTGTCTATCTCTCCTGTGTGGAATGGTGTACCCCATAGGAACTACCCAGAGCACAGTATCTTCAAATAAGAGTTTGTTCAGATTTAGTTTGTTTGAAATGTGGGAAGTGTGAGCATTGAGCTGTCTACAGAAGACCATGGAGGCATGCTGTTTGCTTTGATAAACAGATCATAAATAATGCATTTGAGTGAGAGCTACATTCACAATTTGGATAAAAAATTGGAAGGAGTAAAAGTCATAATTTAAACAGAAATGGTAATAAATTTTGACCTAATTCAGTTCAGGGTGAAAAGAATGGGAATTTGCCATTAGCTTCAGCACCTTTAAGACTTCCATGGGAATATTTAATTCTTTTGCATACAACTTTGTAATAATGACTTTGCATCCCTAGAAGTGACTTGATTGAAAACTCTGAGAATAGCTACAGCATTATCAGCAGCAGTGCAGGTTCCTAACCCTGCCTGCTTGAAAACACATCAGCTTTGTGAGGAGGAAATCTCATGGAGTGGCTATAGCTGCTGTTCAGGCCATGCTATCCTAACCAGATGATTTTCTTTAATTTTCAGAAAAAGAGGTCACTCTGGAATTAGGAATTTGAAGAGTGACAGGTAAACAGATTTATGAAGCTACTACCAGTTGAAGAAGTCCATTGCAAACATGAAAGGCAACATCAGGAGAAGTATAGAAGTGGCTGGAAGGCATATGAACAATTTAGACCAGGATTATTAGAGGAACAGGACAGTGTTCTATTTCTATTCCCAAAGATATCAAGTCATCCAAGGACTGTTTTTTTAAGACAGCCCTTTCCACAATGACAGGATTGTGTTTAATTTTATGTTAGTTTTTCTTGTAGAAATCTGAAAATCAAGACTTACTTGTTTATCTGACATCAGATACCTCATTAGAATGATGTAAAAATTGTCTTAATGTCACAATAGATTTATTTAAATCAGTTGATCAACGTGCAATAATCTCAGTTAGTTTCTTAATGTACAAAAAAACCATGGGTAATTACATTTGCCTTCTTGCTTAAATGTCCAGTTTTAATTTATGTTATTTAATCTATCCAAATGTTCATTCCACAGTACACATCTCAGGACATTCTAAGAGACTCCCTGAAACATTTTGAAGTGAGAAGGGAAAAAAAAGACACGTCTCTAAAAGAGAATTTGTTGCTGTTTTTTGTTGCGTTTTTGTTGTTTGTTTTTTTTTTTTCTTTCAGAAAAACAGTCATTAGGAGTCAGTAATTAGTAATTAGGAGACAAAAAGGCAAAGAAATAGGAAATGAAAAATACAAGAAAATTAGTCGTATTCATGTTTTCAAAGAATAAGCAAAAATGAAGAGACATTCCAGTTGTTAGTATTTATAATATATTCAATTTTCTATAGAAGAGACTATTTTAATTTAGCAATACATGTTTTCATTAGTACAACACTCAGTAATTATGCATATTGGTAGCAAAAACACAGTGGGCTTTGCTTGCTCTGTATAGAGGAAGGAAAGGGAAAGCAAACAAGATAATGAAAATCTGGGCAATGGGAACATTTCCAAAGAGTGGGCACCTGATTCCCTCAGAATGAGCAATTATTTTCCATCTTCACTTGGAACTCAATACCCTGGGCCTCATTAAGCCAGTGTGTAGCTGTACATCGTTCTA